TTTTCCTCCAAACAGCTGGGTATCCTCCTTACTCCATTACTCTCCTCCACCCTTTCCTCCCTTAACTGCTTTCGTACCCGCATCCCCTCGCCCTGTGTACCCTGTACCCTAACAAGCAATTGTACCCATACGCCTCTCTCATCCGGCCAACTGCCTCATCTCCTTCATCTTTCTTTTTTTATATAAATCTTTCGTAATACATACTTTCGGTCACAAGGCAATACCCTCACCCTTACACGCACCGCTAAAGGTACTTATCTTGTCACACTAGTACCCTTTTCCGTGACAATTTTTTTGACAATTTTTCTGAAATTTCTCATCCGATCTTTGAGCGAAATTGTCATTTTCTAGTCAGACGTAATGATCGTTTTCCGTCTGAAAAACCTTTCCGTCAAACTTTTTTTTTTTCAGCCAAGCATAGTCAAATCAATCTATATTCGAGAATGTTAATTTATGTTAAATTAAGATTGTCAAAAATTGACGGAAAAAAAGTGTGTGGACACGGCCTTAAGTTTTAGAAATGCGGGTTCCACTTATTTGTTATTGTGACTGCGTCTCAATTCGTATAAAATCTAAATTTGGTTTTATTTTACTTTTTACTTTACGCCTTTCCGTCCCTTCCTCCTAGCCACTATCCCTTCTTCTTTACTTTACTCCTTTCGTCCTTCCTCCTAACCACTATTTCCTTTACTTTACTCCTTTCCATCCCTTCCTCTTAACCACTATCCCTTCTTCTTTACTTTACTCCTTTCCATCCCTTCTTCTTTACTTTACTCCTTTCCATCCCTTCCACCTAACCATCATCCCTTCTTCCAATGCGGTAGTTATCTTGTTAGTGAATACTTATCTCTTCAGTCGAATACATCCCGTTGGTAAACATCTATATTATTGCTGTACAGTGTACTGGTGTTACTGGATAATGCGAGTCAATGTATGTTGTATCAAGTACTTACTAAACATGCAAATTCGTTTTTATTTTTATTGCCTTTCTGTCTCTTACAATACTTTTCTAAGTCTCTCTGGTCTTTTTTCTTGTCTTCAATACAAATTTCTCAATTTTCAAAACGAATACGTCCGTTATTTTCTTTTCTTCCTTCGTGATCGCTCGTCTTCTTTCTCACTTTGCTGTAACCTTTTTTCTTTCTTTTCTACTCCCCTCCCGTTCACTACCCTGTTCCTAAACAAAATGCAACTATGCCTTCTATTTTCTATCCTCCCTCCCCCTCCTCTTTCTTCCGCCCTAATTTTCCTCTTTTGATTGACCTATCCTTTTTTTTTTTTCGCAACAACGACCTTGCCATGACCTTTTTTCCTTCTCCTACCCCTCCCCTCCCCTCCCCTCCCCTCACTCCGTCACTTTCTCGCCGCGATCACTTTACTGCCGTGACCTTGGGAGGAAAAAACCGGGGGTAAGGAGGGGGAGGGTGGAGGGAGGGAGGGAGGGAGGGAGGGAGGAGGGAGGGAGGGAGGAGGGAGGGAGGGGGGGGAAGGGAAGGAGGGAGGGAAGGAGGGAGGGAGGGGAGGAGGGAGGGAGGGAGGGAGGGAAGGGGAGGGTAGGGGGAGGAAAGGAAAGGAAAGGGGAGGAAAGGAAAGGAAAGGGGAAGGAAAGGAAAGGAAAGGAAAGGAAAGGAAAGGGAGGGAAGGAAGGGAAGGAAAAGGAAGGAAAGGGGAAGGGAAGGGGGAAGGGAAGGGAAGGGGAGGGAGGGGGGAGGGGAGGAGGAAGCATAACTTAATCAACGTTTTAAGCATTCCGATTACTTTCGTCCTTACGGTCACTATATGATTTCTCTCAATTTTTCCATCTTACATTCATATTTTCTGTACTTTCATCTCCCTCGTTCTGTGCTAAGATCCTTAAACAAAGTGTATAATAAACATAAGCGTATAATAAGTATAAGTGATTTATCGTGATAACTGAATTTACCCCTCATAACGAACCGAATATATAGAAAAAAAATATTAGACCAGACTACGTACAAATAGCGAATGTGCACGTGATCATACATACACGTATTTGACCAATTAATTTTCACCCAGGTCGAATTCACCCTTTTGCGCGCGACAAGTACAGAATAAATCAATTATAAATAGACAATTTTTTAACGTGAAACGACAGTGTGTTGATGGGCGATAATTCTCTTCTTAATAATCGTCGATACAGTCCTATAAGTTTTGAATATAAAACTGGCCTCAAATTCAAATATATGTAAACTATTAACTTGTTAGCAAACAAGGCATTGTAATTCACCTCAAATTTCACAGCAATGAACACACATTATATAGTAATAATATCAACAACAACAGTAAAAAAAAAAAAAAAAAAAAAAAAAAAAAAAAAAAAAAAAAAAAAAAAATCCTGAAAACCAGTATTACTAAATATTCCATTCAAAAGCATTTTCTATAGTTTACCATCAACAAAAATAAATGAAGTTATCATATTCTCCTTCCCTCAATTTTATGGATATTAAAAAACATATTTTCTTAATGTTTATGACTATAATATATCCCTTTAACGACCACAAAATCTTTTTATTCCCCATTTTTACGCAAAACAATGAATCCTTAATGTTTCGTAAGCCCTAAAAAGGTCACGTGATATCGGATTACAACGGCGTGAATCACCTAATGTTATTTTCTTCGTATTTCGTTAAATAAACGACCTACAAAAGAGGGAGATTGAATAATTCTTCCATGTACTTATATTTTCTTAGAGTAAGCGATCACATTTAAAAATCAGTTCTAATGACAGACTTTTTTTTCTCTTTTTTGATGTGTGGAAATACGCATAATTATTTTTTCTTTATCCTTCCATTTCACAAACGACTGACTATAAGGAATCTGACAGGATGTTCCCATTGAAACCTTCTGCCTAAAAGGAGACACCCCATACAACCGCCATGCATAGGCCTATCTCTAAATAAAGAAAGATGAAAGCATATGCACACGCTTCCATTTTTTCACCTTTACTTATTTTACTGTTTTATCTCACAGTGTCATAAACATCCGACTTCATGGCACAGCGCGGGCTTACCCATGCTGCCCACAGTACACCATACCCGCTTCCCCCATTCTCACCCCCCCCCCCTACAGCCCATACGCCTCCATCCTCCTCGCCCCCATCCCCCACATCCTTGTCCTCGTGACCACAGAGGCTCATAAACTCAAGATTAGATCTGCGAGGCACCAATCACTTCCAGAGACCACAGTTAATAACAGTTTTTCCCGCTCTTTTTTTTAAATAACGGTCTTTACGAGGTCGCTTCCAGACCTTCGGCTTCGTCTGTAATTCCTTCTCGGCTCGATTTCCCTTCGTTTTTTTTCATTCTTGTCCTAATGGCTTTACTGGTAAAAGTGAGAAAAAATGAAAAAAAAAAAAAAAGTATTCGTACAAGCGGTCCTGATAATAAATAATATTTAAAAGCAACAGCACAACATACAGATGAGCAAAAAATACCTACATTAACGCGTATGCAAGTGAAATGAAACCTTACAATACATACAGACTAAAAAGCCTCTTTTTCCCCTTTTCCTACCGTGTCAAGTGTCTCCTTTCACACCAAGTAACACAAGCAAGCCCCCGTGCTGCGGTTCAAACACCTCACTGAGACATGTACCCCCGATGATAACCAAATCTCACACTCAACCTCTGATTCGTCACTAATACTTGGCATATGCAGACTAGTATTCGCCAACACTCGTGAGAAGTTGCTTGGCAGGACAGAGCGGTCACCTGGCAAGCAAGCAGTGTGTGAGTTCTGTTTATTGTCCTTTGCTTGATGACCGTGAAGATTTTTTTGTTGTTGTTGTACCTTTTTATATGGATTTATGGCGTTGTACTGAAATTTTGAGTTGTTGGATTGTAGGTCTACAGTTGGTGTAGCTGTAAATTGTATAGTCACTGTTCAGCTGTTTTGAAGTCATTATACTGCATTGGCTGCGCTGAGTATTGTATTTATGTAGTTACTATATACCTGCAGTCATGATAACTATACATGCTGAAATAATAATTAGAGTCGAAGAGGATAGTGTGTCTTCATACTGTTACTATACAATATCACGTAGACCAGAGTGTCACAATACCATCGCTACAGTGTTATGTACACCCCAACATGCAGATTATCCTCATGCTCTAAACAAAATAAACAGTATAGCATAAAAGAAAAGATAAAAAAAGACGAAAAGGGGAAATAGCAATGGCAAATAAATGAGGAAAAAGGAGAGAGAGGAGAGACAGAAAGAGAGAAACCCTAACCCTCTTTATGGTACTAGATATCTTAAGGAGTGACTGTCTTTACCATCTTCTCTGCCTCGTAAATTTTCCGCCCTGATAGTGCTAGAGCTCTTTGTCCACGTCTTCAATACATTTTTTCCGTCATAAAGATAGCACTTAAAGAGGAATTTTCCCCTCTTGTGAGGATTTTACGAGTGTATTTTGTGTCTTATTATACGCCCTATTGTTTACTCGCTGTGCTGATTCGTGTATGAGCTGTTTTTTTTTTTTTCTAAATCATGAAGGAGGAAATACGACACACCAACAACTTTCGAAAACAACGAATGTAATAGACTGATGCTCCAAAAACATACAATAATAAATATCAGTGATCTACATAGCATATTATAGCATATGACCTCTATTATCACACTCATAGCTCTTCATTTCCACCAGAGTACGAGTCATAACACCTAGAAAACAACAAAATAACGAGAGAAATGAGTGACCACTTCATATATGTCCCTTGCTGGCTGCGAAGAAAAAGTGACGCTCGGTTTAAACAAGGCTATGACGTCATTCAATTGGGTTGTTATATTGTTTCTCTTAAAAATAAAAATCTTCGCGTGGATTATGCTGAAAGTTCTGTCTCGTCATAATGCATCTGTTAATCATGCAAACGGAAGTAATAAGGGAATTGAAATGATAAATGGATTTCATTTTTGTAAATACGTATTCCCAGACAAAACTACAACTACAATTTTCCATATACACGATAATCTTATATTACCTTCTTTTCCTCACATGTCCGGAGAATCCTCAATAGCAAAAGGCACTGTAGTTAAAACTCGGTAACTTCAGACAATCGTAATAAAAATCCTTGTCGAAATAGAACACAGGAACCACGTGTTTTTTTCCCATACAGGATCGGCGGACACAATTTCCCTCCCACACACTCGACGCACACACTATACGCACACACACGCCCGCGCACACACATGGACCAACCACATCACCCGCTCTCCACGGACGCAATACTCGACTGCCTCAGTGACTGACTTCGAGAGCAATCCTCAGCAGACAGGCCTGAGTGTTGCCCCAGCCGCCACGGTCGAAAATCCTACGCACACACACACACACACACACACACACACACACACACACACACACACACACACACACACACACACACACACACACACACACACACACACACACACAGTCAAACATACACACATACAAACGTACACACATACATATACACAGACGATGCCTGCCCTATACGAGGGAAAATTTCATTTCCGAGGATTTTAACATAACACTTTCAGTATGAAAATATATTCCCACGTGTTATTGATGTTTATTTCTTCATGTTTTAGAGGTGTCTGAAGGATGATTTGTTGTATCAAGTAAACGAGAGAAAATTTATTTTTATACGATAATATATACAATATGGCAAGAGCGCCTCGAAGACTAGCGCGGTTCCTCGAGATGCTGTGAGCTTCATGTACGATAATGTAAGAAAATTTTCAACAACGTTTAGGTTATAACTATCACCTACTGCAGTAACAATTATGGGTCAAAGCATTCAGACACAAAATACGAAAATGAAAATGAACAATGCAAAATGGTAATCCAAGGTAGTTTGACGTCTGTTGGCCAGTTTTTAACCAATTAAGAATAAATTTAGGTTAAGCTATCGAGATGTCGATAGTTGCTATGAGGTCTAGGGAAAAACGGCTATCATTTTGGGTAAAAGGCCATTCTTTCGACACGCGCCGGTTAGAAACGTTTTTAGGACTATTACCAAAATCGAAATTTATTACAGTAGCCCCAGAATGGAATTAGACCGCTTTCGAGCTGTACTAAGACATAAACGACAATCTTATACTAAAGCTGCGGTCACTTTCAACAGTTGTTATGATCCACTAGAAGTTTAAAAACGCAAAAAAATGGATACACCCGAGAAACTGCACAGGTGGGACGTGTCTGTAGTTTAAGCGACCGAGAACTTTGTTTACTTCCCGGCGTTAACATCCTGTTGGCCGCCCTCTTCGCTGTCCCTTAAACACGCCACACCCACGGGCACCACGACGCTTCTGCTAGTACCCTGGGTACTCCTCGCTGGGTGGAGTCACACGCTCATACGCAGACATGCATGTAGATGAATCACTGGTGAATATGTGTCTGTGCGTGTGTACGTGTGCGTGTGTGTGTGTGTGCGTGTGTGTGTGTGTGCGTGCGTGCATGTACGTGTGTCTGTGCATGAACGCAAACATACGGGCCCATACAAACAATTATACAGCAGATGAACACATGCATATGAATACATTCATACTCAGAGATAGGCAGAATCACACACACACACACACACACACACACACACACACACACACACACACACACACACACACACACACACACACACACACACACACAGTTCCAACACGCTACCTCACGCTAACCCTAACACATTCATTGTGTGGTCGGCGCCTGACTGGGAATTATGCTAAGCTCGCGGTAGACATCTCGGAGCACGGAGCAGCCAAAGGTAGAGAGAGGATTAAGACTAGTAATATGAAACTGTTAATAGGGAGGAGTGTGTATGTGAGGTGTAGGGAGAGGCTATGTGTGTGTTTGGGAGAAGTGTGTGTGTGTGTGTGTGTGTGTGTGTGTGTGTGTGTGTGTGTGTGTGTGTGTGTGTGTGTGTGTGTGTGTGTGTGTGTGTGTGTGTGTGTGTGTGTGTGTGTGTGTGTGTGTGTGTGTGTGTGTGTGTGTGTGTGTGTGTGTGTGTGTGTGTGTGTGTGTGTGTGTGTGTGTGCGTGTGCGTGTGCGTGTGCGTGTGCGTGTGCGTGCGTGTGCGTGTGGTGTGTGTGTGTGGTGTGTGCGTGTGTGTGTGTGTGTGTGACCCCTACTGTAGAATTAGAAGAAAACGACAACCTCTATTTTAATACCAATTTTCCAGTATGTTAAAAAACAAATGGTAAGCAGCATTTCAATGTACTCGGATGTATGTATGTATCGGATGTAATAACCCACATATATGAAATGTAGAATAGTTCTAAAGGCAACACAGTAATTATTATGGATCGCTGTGGTAGTTTTACTTAATTGCTGTTGCTAGGGGCATCTTGTATGAGAATGCGCGGAGCTTGTACAGCGGGCGTCGACTCAATTCCTTGCAACTGTTGAGGTTATATAACGCATACAGTATGAACTAGCGAAAGGAGAAAGAAGAGAAACAGAGAAAGTAGGGGTCTCTGTCTCTGTCCCTCTTCCTGCGCTCTTCAATCTTTCCCCTACTTCTCCCCTTCTTCCTTTCCCCCCTCCCCTTCCCCTTTTCGTCTTACCCTCTCTCCCTCTCTAAATCTCTTATTTCTCTCTCTCTCCATATCTCTGTTTTGTCATATTATATGTCCCTCCGCCTTTTGAAAGCCACCCTTTGCAGTTCTGAATACATGTACACCTTCACAGTAAAATTGTACCTTAAGAAGAGCAAGTATTTAACAAAAAAAAAAGTTCCGTCTCGGAATCGGTAGGAAACATTTATTTAAAAGGATTCTCGCACTAAC